TACAAGAATGACACTCAGCTCTGATGATGTCCATCATATGATGGACGAAAGCTCAGCCCTTTTTCACCTGAAACGAGAGAGGAAATCTCGTGGACTGCGTCAACATGAACATCGTGTAAAAGCCAAACAGCTGCAGTACAACGAGATTCATCCGTCCTCATCTGGTGAGATCGGCCAACGAATCTCTTCTTCATGCACTTTCATACCAAATGAAGGTCCCTCCAAAAATGAAAAAGTAGAAGCCCAAGGTATGAATAGAGGTTTTAAAATACCTAAAGTGCTTCACCAGCATTGTATGCAGGCAAATATACGTCCAGCCAGACAATAGCCTGTGTCAGGACTGCAGGATCAAACTCCAAGTGGATTACGTGAACAAATATCTGTTTGCAACGTGGAATCCACTCCATGCATCTAAGCAATAGGCTTGAACCAAGTTTGTCAGCAATCTCTGTTCAGTTGATGGCAAATCTTGTTAAAATATTGTTTTCATACATCTTTAGTGTCTTTTACGGAGAACACAATAAAGGCTAAGTGCACATCCGTCGTAAACTTGGAATGTCTAGCCAATAGATTAGTTGCACGAATGAATATCCACCCCTTCAAAGCAAAACCGCCTTGGTTCCCGAAAAGATCAATAAAAAAATTCCTTCCAACAACTTTTTTATTAAATTATAGGTCAACGTCATCAAATTTATTTTAGGTTCCGCAAAATCATAATTCTGCATAAATATAGCAATGTCTATATTCGATGAATTCATAGTCGAGCGACCAATCAGAAAGATTGAAATAGCTAAATATTTATAAAAGTAAATACTAATCTTGATTCGCAATGATTTAAATCAGAAAATAAATTTGTACGTAGATATGAAGACCAAGATGTTGTAGTCTTCGGTTTGATCGCAGTCTCCATTAGCTTTATAGTGTTTGTTCAACCTCGAGTTCGCAATTTGGTCGGAGCGCCAGGGTGGTATTGTGGAAAGTACCTAGTCCTGTGTCCTCTGCCATAGCATTCGTGATTTCCAGCATCAACCATTGACTTGGTAAACTCCCAAACGTTTCGCCGGCATCGGAGTCGGCAATGCTTCTCACTGACGATGCTGACTACGATGCATGCGGAAAGTTTGGAAAAGAACGAAGTCAATGGTCCGGTGCTGGAACTTACGAACACTATGGAAGAGGACACAGAGCTAGGTACGCTCTACAAGGTCTCCCTGACGTTCCGACTAAGTTGCGAAAACAAGGTCGAACCAACACAATACATTTTTGCCTTTGTTTATTTTTAACTTAATACTACTTATTTATAGTACTTTATTTTTTTTGCCTAGATGGAAACGCCTATTTCGGGAAATAGATGCAGATCATTCGGGCAGAGTGAGTGTCAGCGAACTGAAAAAAGCTCTTTCCGGTTGCATAAATCCAGTACCGTCCGATGTATTTGATGAATGGGTTTCACAATATGATGTAAACAAAGATGGAGAACTGAGTTACGAGGAATTTCTTGGCTTTGTCACAGATCAATACTGAATATTTTATTAAGTTTCTTATCCTCATTGCGTATGGCTCTCAAAATTAATCGAATCTCAAAGATTAAACCCTTTTCTTTACATTTACTTACGATGAAAGAGCATGCGAAATTTTGAAAAAAATTATTTTGGTATGCTCTCTTTCTTTTTTTATTAGACCGGCTGGATGTCTCACGCTCTTAGCTATTGATATTGGAAATAGATGCAAAGATGCATATTTGGATTTCTTGCCCTTCAGGTATATTAATATTTATATATGGGCTAGGTATATTTTTTTGGTAAACCTCACAGAGCACAATCTATGGGCAATTAATCATTCAGGTGATGAAGGATTGTTAGTTTTTTTCCCACAATTGTATGAATAGAGTTGACGTTTCCATTGAATTTCATATAGCCTTGCCTTTCCAACGGTGGAAATCGGTACGAAAAGTCTGTTTGTAATTGATACAGTGGCCAGTCCGGAGGATATTTCAAGCAATCATAATTTTCTGTACTTTGTGCT